TATGTATATTTTTACTTTTAATTTATACTGGCGTACCTGTTTTTTATGACTATATTAGAATTCATCTGGAACATCATCTTAAATCTCCAGAATTCCGAATATTGACGTTCCTTGTAATTGATTTACCGTAAAACTTGTAATAGACCACCCTGTCATATTCGAGCTTAATTATATCGACTCCTGCGCAAATTATCAAAAAGTGTTCAACTAATAAAATGTTTATCATAATATCACCAATATTTTATCAGTTGACAAATTTTTGATATCATTCACTGGAATCGAAATAATTGAATTCAAAGTGGACGGCTCGGGTGTTCTTCTGTTTTAGGAAATACGGAATTAAAAAAATACTCGGAAAACTAGTAATTACCGAAGAACCTGTATTTGAAGGGCCGGCCCTTCTATTTCTCCAAGCCCGGAGAGCTTTTCTATTACAGGGGCCCTTCAATTACAGGGGGCCTTTCTATTTTTCCGCATATTCTTCGGAAAGGTTTCATTTAAAAAAATAAGTATATGCTCGTTCCAAATTCATGAAAATGAATAGATTTTGCTAAAATTGAGCAAATTTTTGAGCAAAGAAGAGTTTTTCAACAAATTTCTCTGGAATTTTGAACTTTCCAAAATATTTGTCACTGAAAACGAACGGAAATGTTTAATTTCAAAATACACATCTTGAAGAGGGCTCTTCTATATTTCCAAGACCCTCTCAGGGTCCCTTCTAATACAAGTTTTATGGTAGTTTTTTGAACCGTTGATAGTGCATCGGAAAAAATATTGGAATTGTGTGTTTTCTGAGGCCGTATGCAAGAGTGTTTTGAAAATAGTTTAATGAATGTCTCAAAATGTTTTTTTTTTCAATTTTAAAATGAATTCTGGGCTTGAAAATGACTAAAAATGACTATAATCACTGTGAAAATCCTTTCCAGACTTTCAGAAAATCATTTTCCAAACACCGGAAAATGGTTTTTCACTTTCTTGCATACGGCCTCTAGTTTTGCCTCCTTTCGGTCAATATTTCTGAGCTCCATTTGGCTCTACCCGGTCTACCGCACCTTTTTTTTCTTCCGCCAACCGTTCCCACACTTTATGATCACCTCATTTTACCCTTACAATCCTATTTCTTTTTTCTCCCTTTTTCTCTCAATTTTCCCTCTTATCTCACACTTCGTATATCATCTTTTTCATCACTTGAATAGGTACCGCACTGACAAAAAATGATTGATGGCATAAATAATAATTCCTCCCGTTATCACATTCAACATTCAACATTCCGCCGGCTATTTCCTCCCGATTTATGCGTTCCTCCCTTCTATGTTTTTTTCACACACTTTTCCATTCAGAAATTAAGAATGAAGTGGGGGATATGTGTGTCTTCTGAATCAAGACGAAGAAATGCGCATAATTTATTAGATACACGAACGATGCCGACTAAAAACATACGTTCTTCTTCTTCGTTTCCTTTTTTTCTTTGTATGGGCGGAGATTCATTACGAATACGAAATTTTTTGTGAATTGTTTTTGACTCAATTCACACTCACTTCACAAATTACACACTCCCTTTTTTACGGATTTTCTTTCTTATGAGAATAATCGGATAACTGTACGATTTTTAGATATCTTCAGATTCTTGGTTGAAGTTATAGGAATCTGAAATGTCATAGAAATTACTTGAACTTCAAAATTAAGTTTTTACATTTTCATGGGGACAGATTATAGCTCAGAAACAAAACATTCATTTGAATCTTAATGTACGGTATGATTCATATCCATCCCTTGAAACTCGACTACCTGTATTGGAAGGGCCCTGAAATTGAAGGGTGGTTTATTTTCACCATTTGGTACCTGGTCATGAAAAAAAACCGTGCGGCAAAACCGTACCAGGGTTGCAAATTAGATTCCGCCCCCGACATTTTTCCTACCAGATGGTTCCTACCACTTTTTGTTTTCCTCCCAGTTGGTGTGCTCTCTACAGGACTACCTTAATCACAATGATGCAAGGTAACAAAACTTCGTTTTTTTTTCTTAATTAACAAGGTAGAAAAACAAGAAAATGGTGTGAATTTTTTTTTGATTAATACTCTGCTACTCTGTGAAATCAGTAAAATAGATTTCTAAGAAATTGAAAATAGATTTCTAAGAAATTGGGATAATTTCGTTCAGAATGAAGGGTACGGTAGATTTCGAGAATTTCGAAATTATGGATTGAGAATAACAATAATTTCCAAAGTACACTGAACCACGAATCTTCTGTTATGATAAGAAGTTGCTACTCCTCCAGTGGTTTCTGACCCTGCAGTTTCCTTTTTCCCTCCATCTAATCCTAATATTTGCATACCACCTTTCGGTTTTGTCAATATTTCATTAGCTGTTTGTGTTGCCATTCACGGCCCCATTGCCCCTTACCTCTTTGGATGACTACCACACCTCGTTTCTTGAGAGTGTATCAAATTCGCAGAATCCTTCAGAAGAGGTTCTTAAGCTCATAGCCAAAAAGTTTACATTCACTAATCTAATATTGAATATCCATTCCTAATAGAATGCCCTTATTAATCCAATTGATTCTCTCCGTCCCCTTATTCTCTAAAGTTAGTTCCAGAGACTTACCGCCTCTGGCAAACTGCCTCTCATTCCGGAGTTTCCCATTCGGAGCAGCACAAAAACGTCCTCATCGTCTTATTCTTTCAGTAATCCCTTCCTCTCACTCAACTTCTTCTTCTACTTCTACTTTTCTTCCCATTCCATCAAGAAAAAAGAAGCTTCTGTCACATACACGCCTTCATAATCGTTTTTGATGGGTCCGAGGAGTCGGACTTTTCCCCGGGACGTTTCTCTCTTTTGTCCAAATGGCCTAGATTACAAACTATACTTACATTTCACATTCGAATCGTAATCCCCCTCGTGTGCCTTTGTAAATGTATCACTTTCAGTTTCATTTCATTTACTGTAGCATTTTTGGGGAGTCTTCTTTTTGAACAGTATACCGTAATACTTGTGATAAAAGGGCTGTCGCACTGGCAAGTGTTCGCTTAATTATCTCAATTTATTTGCTAGATATCAACATTTTGTAAACAGATAAATTGTTTATCATAACATCAAAAATAATTTATCAGTTAACAAGTTTTTTTAATCCTTGACAGGAACCGAGATGTATTGACTCGAAGTTAAAAGGTAGGCGACCTTTCTATTACAGGTTTTACGGTGAATCAGTTTTTAAAAATTGCTGTACCACAACTCTCCCCCACTCGTCAACCATCTGTTGTCCTTTCGGTTCCATTTCTCAGACGTTTTTCTTTCATTTTTTTTTCTTCTCAACATTCGAGAACATGTGTTTTACATGTTTTATGTGCTCTGATGGGGCCCTCCCGACTGCTCCACACATCGTTTCTTAGTGTCATTCGTATGAATTCCTGACTAAATTGTTTTTTTTTCAGAAAGTTCAGTCCCCAGAGGTGTTTGTATACTCTTTTTATATCCACTTGACAATCTGTTCATTGTCAGTTTTATGAGCGTTTTATAGTGACTGTATGTGCGTTCAAATGGCCTACAGTTGCATTGTAAACCACTCCGTTGAGATGACAAAAATCTAGACACATCACCCTTTTTCTGTGTAAATTTGTAGGTTTTTCTTCTAGAATGTCTTAACTATACCTAAAATTTTTTGATTTTCAAAGTAGTAAAATCGGAAAGCAAAAAAAGAAGTTTGGATACAGTATCCCTGAGATGCCGATTTCTGACTCTAGTCGGTCATTTTGGTCCTTAAGAAGGTCCTTGAATTTCTTTTTAAAAATTATAGAAATATTAAAAATTTATAAAAAAATCAAAATTGAAAAATCCCATAATTTGGAAAATCCAAAAACTTCGTTAAATTCAGTTACAAGAGAAAAAAATCAGGAAACATTATTTTTTTTAGAATTTTCTCCTTTCTAGAATTTTCGTTTCTAGAATTTTCCTCCTTTTCTAGAACAGTTCAGAGAAGCCAACTTTTTTTGGATTATTCCAACTTTCTGATTTTTTTTTGAAAATTTTGATATATTTCTTTTCGGAAAATCTGAATTTACTGAAGTTTCCGAATTTTCGAAACTATCAGATTGTTAGCATTTTCTTGGATTCTTGGATATTTGGAGTTTTTGATTTTTTCAGAAACTTCAAAGGGCCAAAAACCTAAAACCATTAACCAAGGAAAAATTCCAAAGTTAAAAAAAAATCTACAGACCAAAATAACCGATTAGAGCACAAAATCTCATTTTTCTTACACTTCAAAAAGTCATTTTTTTCTAAAATCGCTCTCACAATTAATATACATTTTTCTCCTCCCTCTTTTCACCTTTAGAAATCTTCTCCACCTCCTTTTTCTTTACATTTCTCTTCCTTTTTTTGCCTCCTCATTCATTTTCAAAACAATAGAAACATTTGCATTCTTTTAGAAGATGTATATCTTTCCCTTCTTTTTGCTTTCTTTTTTCTCTCTTCAAGCTCTCAGTTTTCCAGAGATTTTCTTTGTCTTGATACTCCTTCGTGAATGTGTATTTGGAAATTTGATACAGTGTTTTTACTAGGGATTTTCCATTGCTTTGCGGCGGATTTGTCCGTTGTTTGTCGTCCTCTTTTTGCTACCATTTATTTGCACTAATTTCCACTTTTTCGAGGTATTAAGTGCGAACAAAATATAATATTTTTTCAACTGGCATCCAAATTTTAAATTCATTTTTAAGTTTTGTTTTATTATTGTTCAGAACTACTATACATCTCGAATTTTGATTCTCTATACAATCATACATCTGGTGGTCATTCTCATAAAAGTTTTTGATAGGTTTTCGGAATCTGATTTTGAAATTGAAACGTTTCTTATGTCGACTCCTCCTTCTTCTCTTGATTTTACAATTATTATTCTTCTGGAATCCTTTTCATCTTTCCGTTTTTATTTCAGAACAAAAATAGGTTTCAAATCATTATTCATACTGGATCCCTTGCTAAAAAGCAATGACTCGTCGACTTCCTCGATGAATGCCACGTTCAAATCGATGGTTCCGGTTTGCGAAGGAGAGCCATGCATTCGAAATGGCTCTGGTGCTGGAGCAACTGTTCGTTTTAGACAGGGTAAGGCTCTATTTATTGGAGGATTTCAAGTAGAAAAAGATACAGAAGTTACAGAATCCAGACGGAGGAAGTCAGATTTTGCTCGAAAATGTATAGCAGTCATTTTACTTCATGCAATATTCCTATTTGCTATTCTAGCAGCGCTGATTATTGGACATTGGATATCAGAAGAGAACCAGAAATTGAATAATCGAACCATGGTTAGTCTGGATCTTTTCAAATTTTGTCTGAGTCTCTAACCATCCTTAACACAATTAACAAGCTCGGCTTTCAATTAACCGAACCCAATTAACACACCCCCGTTGCAGTTGAATTTCACACTTGCGGAAGCCTATCTACTGGAAGGCTCGTACACAACTACAACCGCAACTCCAGAAGCTCTCAATCATCATCATACACGCCTTCTAACAACGTCTTCTGCAATGGGACCATTGAGGAAGAATGCACCGCCACGAGTCGTCGAGAGACTAATCCCGGTGTGTACTCATAACTTTTTGCTTTGGTTTTTCTCACGAATTGTTTGAAAAGAGAAGAATGGGGATCCGCATGACTTGTGAAAAAAATGGATTTTCTGTTTTTCGAAAAGGGCCATGAACTAAACAAAGAATTTAAAAACTGCAATAGCAAGATTTCTGATCTGCAGGGTGGCACACAACTACCCGAACTGATAAAAACAACCCTCCTCTAGACATAAGTATAATTAATTTGAAACTTGGTCAGTTTACTGGTGAATCATCTGAATTTCTGCACTCTAAATTTGAGCCCAGTTCAATGCTTACTCAAACTGTATGATAGTTCAAACTTTAGTGCTGGTTACGCCACCCTATAGAACTTCTCAAACTATTATGTGACGGCTTTTCGATAGAAAAAAAGATCTTTTCCATGTCTACAGCTTTCTACGGAAGCATCATAAATCTCACTGCCTAATTGCTAAACTGACAGATTATTGTAATAGGTTTCCGTGTCATAATGACGAATTATACTGTCAATCACCACCACCATCGTCACTGATTTCTCTCCTCCGATTTCACTCATTTTACCCATTTCGCATGCAAATTACTGCCACCCAGTGACACTGCCAAAAACCCGCAAAAATGACTAACATCAAGGACACATTTCACTGTAATACGATTATGCTAAATAGTTTTTGGTTTTGTCAACTGAGACTAGGGGTGTGGGAACCTGAAGAAAATGGGACAGTAACTGGGGATTACCAATGAGAAATACCGAATTTCCTCTAATAGAAGCCCACACGGGTTGTCAACTTTGAGCTCAATTATCTCAGTTTCTGTAAAAGATATCAGAAACTTGACAACTGATAAATTATTGATCATGAAATTACCAATATTTTATGAGTTGACAAAATTCTGATATCTCTTATAGGAATCGAGATAATTGAGCTCAAAGTTGTCGGTTCCGGTATGGGGCAAAATAAAGCAAAATGGGAATTATTTCAGCTTGAAAAGAAACGCAACTTCACGATATTGGATGTTTTTCCACCTCCGGCTGATGGCGGATTTGGAATCGCAGAACAACTTCATGCGGTTAGATCAAACAAACTGTCGACTGATGCTTTATTAGTTCCACTACCATTGTATATTCTACCGTACCACTATGATCTGCAGGTAGACGAATGATCATTTCAGGATTCATCTATCATAAAATCATTTTCAGTTGGATTTCTCTCAATTCGATACAAATCTCTTCATCCGTGCCAACATATCAATTCATCTGGAAAGTTATGGTAACTCTACGGAAGACGAGATTCAATTCCATCTGGGACCGAACATAAAAATTGAAAGAATGAGATTGAAGAAAGATGGAAAAAAGTTTTATGCAAAGACATTCAAACGAGAAGAATCAAAAAAACTGGGAAGAATTTCGTTGAGAGACCCACTTCAAAAAGGAAAGTACATTCTGGAAATGGCTTACAATATGACAATTTGTGATGAAGATGTAGATGGAGTCCGATGTTCCCTTGATAATCAAACCAATTCATCTCTGAAATCAACTAGTTTCACTACTAAATTCGAACCAACCCTTGCTCGTGCATTCTTTCCGTGTTGGGATGAACCAGGAGTCAAAGCAACATTCAACATATCAGTGAAGCATAATAAAAAGTATACGGTTCTATCGAATATGTCTCCCATTGAACAGCCGAACAAAGTGGATTGGGATGATCAATTCAAAACTACAGTATTCCAACCAACTCCTCCAATGTCGACATATCTCCTTGCATTTGCCATTGGTTCGGTTTCAGAAAAACATAATCCAGATATCGTTTGACTTGTTTCAGGTGAATTCGTAAAACTGGAAACTCGAACTGAACGTGGAATCCCGGTGACAGTATGGACATATCCTGAAGATGTGATGTCTATGAAATTCACTCTGGAGTATGCGCCAGTTATTTTCGATCGGTTAGAAGATGCATTAGAGGTGAATTCTTGGAATTTCCATGTTGGTAACATTGAAATCTAAAAAAAGCTTTTTCAGATTCCTTATCCACTTCCCAAAGTTGACCTAATCGCCGCACGAAATTTCCACGTGGGTGGAATGGAAAACTGGGGACTTATCGTCTTCGAGTTCGCATCAATAGCATACACTCCTCCGATTACTGATCATGTGAACGAGACAGTTGACCGGATGTATAACGAATTCCGTATCGGAAAACTGATTGCTCATGAAGCTGCTCACCAATGGTTGGTTTTGTCGAATACCGTACTTCCTCTTATAGAAGTACTTCCAGGTTTGGAAATTTGGTAACCATGAGAGATTGGTCGGAACTATTTCTAAACGAAGGATTCGCGACGTTCTATGTTTACGAAATGATGAGTTCCGAACGTCCAGTGACAGCTCAATTTGAATATTATGATAGTCTAGCGGCTCTGGTTTCTGCACAAAGTGAAGAGGATCATCGACTTTCTTTGGTTCGAGAACTTGCAACTGAATCACAAGTTGAATTATCTTTCCATCCCACAAATCTATACACAAAAGGATGTGTTTTGATTCGAATGCTTAGGGATCTAGTTAGCGATTTTGATTTCAAAGCGGCCGTTCGAAGATATTTACGGAAAAATGCATATCGATCAGTGTCAAGAGACGATCTCTTTTCTAGTTTGCCAGCCTATGCGGACCATGGTGCGGATAAAGAGAAGTTGAACTACGTACTGGAAGGATGGTTTGTGAATGAAGGACTCCCAGAAGTTACTCTGATGTGAGTAATAAAAATAGATATTTATACATTTTGAACTAGTGATTACAGAAGAAACTATGATAACGAAATGATGACAATCAGCCAGAGAAAAACAGTTCATCATGAATATCGAAGCTTCTTGAAGGATAGAAAACCGGCAGCTGGGGTCAGATACAGGTAAAACTAGTTTTTTTTCGTTTTAGTAAACAACAAATGTTTTCAGAGCAAGTAGAAGTGCCGAGGATGGATCAACGCTTTTTGATGATACTCTATTTGAAGGATACACTGAAAGGAGAAAAGATAAGAGAAGAAAGCATAGACCGGCACGAAGAAAAGCTTCCACTCCACCTCCAATCAGTCCAATAATGAGAAGAGATGAACTGAGAAAACCACGACGGGTCGGAGCTTCTCAGGACTTGTGGACCATTCCAATCACCTATATGTTTGGATCTTTGAAGACATCAGAAGGTCAAGTGATCCGAGAATTCTGGCTGAAAAACCGGACAGTTTCGTTTGGGGACGCAGAAATCTCTCCAAATCAAGCTGTTCTTGTGAATCCCGAATGGAAATATCCATATCGAGTGAATTATGACTTGTTGAATTGGAAACTTCTTGCAAGGACTTTACATCAGAATCATTTGGAAATTAATGATAAATCCAGAATGCAGTTGATTCTGGATGCTGAATACTTCTTGTCGAATTCGGTCAATCCTCATCTATATCTTTATCTTCTTGGATATTTGGCTCATGAAACAAAAATGGAAGTCATGCTTTTCGGAATCGATGCTGTGTATAGATTCATTGATGTTTTCAAAGCAACCCAACTGAACAAAGCAATTTTGGTTTATTTTGAACCGGTCATCTCTCAAATGGATCATTTATTGAATGAAAGTCAAGTGGACGCTGAAACTGCGTCTTTATGGTTAGTCAGACCTGAACGGCTTGCGAAACTTTATCAAATGAGATGTGCGGCTGGACTACATTCCTGTAAAAATGAGTATTATGTGAGTTAGAATAAATATCGTTCATTTTTAATACCAAAAGCTTTAGACTCAAAAATGGTCTCGCTCTCCGGATGAATGGACAGAAGACGTACATAAACAGGTCACTGCAGTATGTCATCAACTCTTCACAAATACTCCGGAAGAAGTGAAAACAGTTGTAAGATAATTATGAAAATATGTCTCTTATAAATATTTCGTGTTTTCAGCAAGAGCTATTGGACAGTCGTCTCTCATCTTCTGGTGCTAAATGGGCACTAACTGTACAACTTGCTGCCTGTTCTCATAATCAGAAACTTTTACGAAAAACGGCTAGAGCGATTGTCAGTACTAAAAATGCTGCAGTTTATGCTTCAGCACTCCAGGTAACAGAAATTGTGTCCTTTCGAAACTTATGAAGAATTTTCAGTCTGATTTCTCTCTCCATTACAATCCAACGTTCCGGAAATATTTATGGTCAGAGATTTCCAAAATGAGTACATTCGAAAAAACGGCACTTTTCTCAACGAACTCCACAAATATCCTTCCAGCATCCAGAATACTTTTACATTCCGTAAAAACGATAGATGAACTACAACAGGTATAAAATACTCGAAATATTTCGATTTCATCAATTTTTTTTCCAGATCCGTGGTCTTCTAACCAATTGGGGACCACTTCTGACCCTTCACTTTGAATATCTTGAACGATATCTTCTATGGGTTTCCAGTGTGTCACAAGGTGTTCTTCATCAATTCTTCGCAGCAGATCTCTCGAATTTCTGATTCCCATAATTTTCTTAATTTCAGTTTACTTTCCCAATTTCACTTTTCTCTATGACGGGTTAACATCTATCGGGTCTCACACATTTCCATGTCTTTCTGAAACAAACCTCTAAAAATGAAAGAAATATTTTCCGTTTATTCAAATTCTTATCTCATATTCCTTTTGTGCAATAAATGTTTTATGTATATACTTGATTCGATTCAGTAATCTGAATAGTTGTGAAAATTTTTTGGAACCAACTAAATTGGATATGATAGAACTGGACGAGTACTACAAAATGATATTAATTTGAGAAATGTCTTGTCTATGAAAAAATTACGAGCCAGAAAGTGGCTGATTCGAACGCTACCTAACTTTTTCCGGCGCGTTTTTCTGTAACTTTATTCATAGACAAGATACAGTTTTTCAAATAATATCATTTTTGAGTACTCGTTGAGTTTTATCAATATCTTATTTAATTGGTCCAAAAATATTCATTTTATAAAAAAATTTTGCTGGGCCAGCGAAGGCCAATGGTCCGGCAACGACCCGGTTTACAAGTCTGGAAGACCTATTCAACGAAACAAGTTCAGAGACTACAGTGCACTTGAGACAGTTCAAAACCGAATGATCCTCATTATCTTTTCGGTTTCGAATGGATCTTTTGCCGTGTTGTATTTCTTTGTTTGCTCAACGTTTCTTGTGCCGTAAAAAGTGTCAGAAACGAGACGGTGAGCCCATTGGCGAAGAGAAACATGAGGGATATCCGGCAGATCAGGCTGCTCTCAAATCTTTATTTGTACGCCTAAATTGACGGAATCTCTGAGGAAGGGGGGAAGACAACGAAACCTGCGAAACTCGACTCGGTGTTGTTTTTTTTTTCAATTTCAACAACATATCCCATTCCCACCTTTTCCGGCGCCTTATTCGCCATATTTTTCGAACGAAACCCTTTAGGATAACTTTATTACTTCTTTGTCCTTAACTATGGACAAAACTCATAAACTTGCAGTTTTCATTTCAATGTGTGCATTTATTTTTAGGTAAGATGCTGGTTTGTAGAACAAAAAAGGATTACTTTGAAAATTACCAGAAAGTGTTACGGTAACTAACTATAGAAGATGATACCATAAAAAGACGAAATTTCAATTTCGCTATCAAATCTCTAATTATGTTTTCCACATCAGTATATTCTTCACAATCATCTCCGGATGTTCCGAGTATTGGGCTCGAGCCGAAGTGATTGACACAAGAAAGTTTCGACATGCCGGCGCTGTTCACTCTGGAATTTTTGCGGGAAATCGAGAAATAGACTTTGGACAAGGAGCAGTCAACACTCGTTTCACTGGTATAATTTTTCTAACTCTCGTCTACCAAAATCTGAGTGATTTATTATGCTTGTCTGAGAAAAAAAGGTTGAGACGCAGAGAAAAAGTGTCTGTGTCTCCACCTTATGTGTGCTATTTAGGCTCTCCGCTTCGATATCGCTACCGTATTCAGACTGCAAAAAATACTCTCTAACCTTGTTTTTTCTCAGACAAGCATAATATTTCCAGTATTCAACGAACTTCAAGATGGAACATCTTTCTTTTCTCGAACTGTTTGGATTTTCTTTTTGTTCTTTGAATCAATGTCTCTAATTTGGTCAATGATTGGAGTGGTTACTTGCGTGTTTTCCATGACTTCGTTGGCTTTGGATATATCAGTTGCCGGTCCAAATGGAATATACCTATGGAGTTTGTTATCATGTTAGTCTATTTTTTTTCTTGTTCTTGAGAAACTGTTAACACGCTAATAGAAGGCCTCCCTATACTTTGAGCCCGTATATATCGGTTTCTGTAGCAGATATCAAAAAATGGTCAACTGACAAAATGAGTATCATAGTATCAAGACCATTTTGTTAGTTGGCCACTTTTTGATATCTTTCACAGGAACCCAAATAAATTGGCTCAAATTACAATTTAGGGTGGTCCTTTATTAAAGTGTTTAAGGTATTCAAACTTATTAATTTCAGCTGTGTCACATGGTGGAGCTTTGGCACTTTTCTACTCCCAATTCCAATCGAGTTTCAAAACTACAATGCTTCTTGAAGAACAACACGACATTGGATTTACCACTTTCAATCAAGCCAGTCTTTCCTATGCTTTTTATATGTCCCTTTGTGCTCTTTTCGCTCTCTATATCCCCCCGTTAACATTGGTTGTTTTTACTGAAAAGTTTATTCATAGTAGGTCAAAGACTCCAACCAACTTTGATCCTACTCTAATGCTGTATTGAGATTCTTCTCATTTTTCTAATTTATTTTTTTTTGTAATAAAGTTTCATTTAATCCGAATCGACCTCTATCTATACGAAATGCTACAATTGCTTCCAATATCTCAACAGATTTCCAACCACTTGTCACATGACCTCATTTATCTTCTCTTTTCAACTCGAATCACTTCGTTTCTCCCACTCAAAATCGTAGCGTTCTGACCTTTGCCGCTGATTGATGAGCATGAAAAACCGGCGATGAACTAAAGTTTGTGTTTCGAATAAGTTTGCAAAAAAGAGGGAGGAGTGGAAGGATGCTTGAAGAAGAAGAAGCACCTGTCATTTCAACGAAGCACACCGATTAGTTCAGTTCGAAAGAAAGACAAACTAAATCGAAATGAATTTTTGGCATCTACTTCTGCTGGCCGTTCTGTTCTTTGTAACAGTTTTTGGAGCTGATTTGGTATGTTGAATATAGTGCCTATAATTGTTATATTATTAAGAAACAAGTATTGGTAGAAGGTTCTACCGTAAACACTCTAATAGAGCGTGTTTCAACCTTGAGGTCCTAAATCTCATTCCCTGCAAAAGGCATAAAAAATTATCAACTGACAAAATACTTTTGATATTATGATAAACATTTTGTCAGTTGACCACTTTTTGGTATCTCTTACAGAAGTCGAGATATATAGGCTCAAAGTTTAGGGTGGCGGGGGCCTTCTATCAGTGTTTACGGTACCTTATCCGGTTAATCACGTTTTGGATGTGATCATTCGCCTCACTGGGACTAGTTTATTTGCACTGAAATCGAAATTTCGTCTTTGGTTACTGTAATCTGCCTTTGGAACATACAGATATTGTTAGGATACTGTAGATCCTAGTTAAATTGTTAACTGATGTTGATGAAGGCATGGAACAAAAATAGTAGATACTTTGTTAACCAAGGCAGATACCAATTTCATGGCAAATACTCACTTGCTATAGCTCATTTGCTATTTTAACTCATTTGCTATAGATCATCTGCTATGGGGTTTCAGAAATGTTTTATAAATGAGGTCGTGATAACCGTTTTTGTTTGTTTTGTACTATAGGCTTAGGCTAAAACGTTGTTTTTTCCGAAACTTTTGCCTAAGCCTATAATTTTAAACAAATATAGCATATGATCTATAGCAAATGAGCTATAGCAAGAGAGAGAGTATAGCAAATGAGCTTTCGAAGCAAGCGGGAAAATAGCAAATGATCTTATAGCAAGTGAGTATTTGCCAAACTTCATTTCAAACTTTACCCATTTTTCAGGAAGGTTCTGGATCAGGAGACGTCGTTGAAGATGCTTCCGAACAAGCCATTCTCAAAGCTCAAAATTTGTTGAACTCGGTTCCATCAGAGGAAAGCGGCGCAGAAGTCGAAGCCTCCGGAGAAGACGTTCAAACTTTCTTCTTCTAATCATTTCTTTCAACTTTGTTGTTTAATCTCACTTCCACAATCACTGCCACTCTCCCAATTTTTACCATACTGCCTTCAGACGTTTTTGAATAAAACTATCGACTGTCAAGTTGTGATAAATTTTTCAGAAAAAGACAGACTCCAACAATGAGAATGAGTTTCTTTTGTTATTTGAACCGAAGAAAAGAAACTGAACCCCCAGCACCTCATTAACTCTTCCAAATTGCCTCTTTCTTTTCAAGCATCCGGTTTTTATACCCGTCTTCCAGTACACTGTAACTTCGTATAAAAAGGTTTCGGGTCCTGACAAGAAATCATTACAATGCGATCCTACTGTTATCTCTCCCTCATTTTTCTACTAATCAACTATGTCTCGGCTGTACCTGGAACAGCAAATTATGTGGCCCCATCAAACTCCACCCGTGTCCTTCGTCAATCTGAAAATCCAAAAAACTTGGAGGATGTTCTAGCTGAACGTCCTGAAGAATCGGAGGACGTAGGACCACTAGGCGAAGTCCAATTGGATGTTGAAGAAGAAGATATTGGAGATTCGGCTCAGCCCAAGATGAGAGTCAGGAGAGGATACAATACGGCGCAACAACAGAAACCACAACAACAACAGAAAAGCAAATATGGAGGAGGAGGACAGAGTAGTAAGTCATGTATATAAAAGACTCTAATAGAAGGTCATCCTATACTTGCACTTTGAGTTCAATCATCCCAATCACTATAAGAGATACCGAAAGTTTGTGAACTGATTAAATCAACTGTAATGTATTCAAAGAGTAATTGCCTAAATTTCAATTGTTCTCAAAAATCAATTTTTTGCTTTAGAAATATATTTTGAAGACAATATTCTCCATTCCAGATAGCAAATATGGAGGCAGTTCCAGTTCAAGAGGCAGCAAGTATGGTGGTGCACGACAACAACCACAGCAACAACATAGCCAATATGGTCAGCAAAGCACTCCAGGAAAGTATGGTGCAGAACAACAAAGTCGTGGCGGATATTAAAAAATTGGTGGAATATCACTAAACCATATATTGAACTCCAGAGCTAAAAATAAATTTTGTTAATGTTTTCTTGCTCATTTCATCAATTTCATTAGTTTCTTCAATATTTCCTATCTTCAATCTCCGCGCCTGTTGCTGAATAGTCATGACGAAAATCAATATGCTTCGCACATTGTCACTCGTTTACCGTCCATAAAAACGACCAAGCAAACAAACATTATTTTTTCATCGAATATTCTAGAATTATGAACTAGAGAACAGTCTACTATTATGAAATTCTGCAAATTCCTTTTCTTTTAGCACTTTGGTCTGTCTCTATGTCTTTCCCACGATCATAATTTTATCGAAATTACTCATCCTCACATCTTCCGATTTTTTTCATTTTTCTCGGTTTTCCAGATTTATTTTTTCGAAGAACAGCGTTCGCTGGTCTTGCCGCGAACTATGCCACACCCAAAACAAGTGTGACCGTAGCATAGTGTGCGCCTTTAACCACTCTCCCTTCTCTGCGACTCTCATCGTCATCATGCGTTCGGAGGGTTTCAGAGTTCTATCGCGAATTCACATTCTGTCGATTTTCGATGAAACAAACTGAAATCCATACTTACTCCGGGCCGGATCTGGCCGATTGTAGTGATTCACCGGCTTATGATTCGACAAGTGTGCTGAAATCAACAGATTCGAGAAGCAGAAAGAGCTCGTTGGGTGTTTTTTGCCTGTTAAAAATGGAATTCATGACTCAGCAGTTCTCGAAAGTTTAAACCTGAAATTAAATATGTTTTACATCTTCATTTTTCTACTGACAGAGCAGTAGTAAATGATTTGGAAAGCTTTCGTTTTCTTCATATTGTCTATTTTCGCTTCTCACTCTATCTACGGTCATGTGTTTTAGATAAGTTACGAGACAATTTTTCAGATTGGCGCCGCGTTTCAGCGAGAATCGAAACCGACGATCAATCAAATCTAAAAAATAACTTTGCAATTCAAATACTATTTGTAAATATAGACGTCCAACAGACAACAGACATCAAAGAGTACATCAACGGGTTTTGAAATCAAAAATGAGGATCGACGATGAGCCGAGCTCAAGTTCCAACTCAACTGAGATGCCTCCAGCCAGTGCTACTCTTCTCCAAAAAATTAATGACACTTTCACTGATGAGGACTTCATTGATGCAATCAATAAGGGGAGGGAAGTACATGCTGTGATGGGAAAAACAGAACTACACCGATGGATTGACGTTCTCAACAGATGTGATGAAATCCTTGAAAAAGCAGTGCAAAAGGTACGGTACATTTTTTGTCTCTCATTTCGGAATCATGGGAATTAGTTGGGAAAGTTATTTTTTCAGAACGATCAAGGGAATATGAAGTGTGATCATGATGCGACACTGAAGAATTATGCGGTTGCCATCATACGCTTCACAGTTTTGCTCTTCGAGTGTACTTCATCCAGACGTATCTACAAAAGTGTGGATAGAATTCTTGCACTCCTTGAGAGCACTGACATGGATCTACTCGCTGAAGTTCTTCGATTGCTTCAAGTTATGGGGAAACGATCGAAGTTCTTGAGCACCAGAATTCCACAGAAAGATCAACAATCTATGGCTAATCGACTCACTGCTATTGCACAATGTTGGGGAGGAAAGCTGAGAACTGTCAAGATGGCAGAGTGTCTGAAAAAAGATCCGAAACTCCCTCTTCTCTTCCCGTTTTCCTATACGGACTCAAAGCAGCGAACAATCGTCGTTGAGCAGCCTCAGGTAAGCGTTGATACCATTTCCAGTCTTAATTAATTCCCTGTGAATTAGTTCATTCCTTGTCAGTTCCAGAACGAAGAAACCGTGGGGGAACTCATCACTAGGACAGTTGCTCAACTGAGTCCACCTACCAATTCGGAGACAACAACCACGGCTCACTTCTCAAATGATGATCTTTACTGTCTGCTCTCTCGTATTCGTATGCACATTGCCTTCAACGACTGGCATCACCGATTTAAATGTCTAATCGTTCGTCTTCTTTCGGTCAGCACACTTGTCTACTGCCGCCTTGGAGGAACGGATGAAAGCACACTCAGCTCACTTTTATACAGTGGATTCATTGAAGAAATAGTTGAGTTGTTGAAAACTGAACGAGAAGCAGATACTCAGACAAATCACCACCTTCACGATGCAATTCAAACGGAAGCGCTCTCCACATTGTGTTCAATTGTTACCTACGAAAAAGAACCAAAAGTACCACAAATATTAGATGCGCTCTCTGCTTCAAGCTATCACGGTTTCTTATCGGTTATGACCAGACAGATAGTCGATGAGCTGAAAAGTAACAATCTTGGAAAGCCGGGAAAACCATCAGTTTCACTGGCCACTGCCTTGTTTTCGTTCATTTATCACCTTGCAAGCATCGAGCCCGGCGGCGATACACTGGTTAGTTCCGGACTGACTCAAACGCTTCTCAGTGTCATCGGATACCACGATCTTCCGATTGAATGCATCACTTTTGGAACACGATGTGCTAGAATTATTGACTTGTTCACAACACTGGATGTTACTGCGTTCAAAGCCAATAACGGAATGGAAATTTGTGTGAATAGAGTTGTGGTGGGTATTTTAAATCTAGAATTTGATACTAATTTATTGTTTTCAGCACGAAATCAACGAATGCCGCAAAGAACAACCGTTTATGATTGACGTATCCCACGATATGCCGTTCGATGCCGAGCCAGAGCCGAGAGACGATCAAGAGCAGGATGAACAAAATGAGGAGGATCAACGAAATATGGAGGAAGATGGTGTTGAAACATCAGCAACATCATCAAATGCTCCGCTACAAGAAATGGAAGAGTCAGGTCCTGCTCCTGATGTCGTTGATTCGCCTAATCAAGCCGGCTCATCCACAGAAAAGTTCAAAGGTGGACCATGGGAAGTGGTGCAATCAACTGGAACAACATGTCATCAACAGAGAAGCGGTCTCATTAAAGGATTGCTAACGTTCATTAAGCGAGCTATCGGCGATGGGCAGTTTCAGGATATCATGAAACACATCATGGAGGGCGATTTACCAGAAGCTCTTATGCACATTCTTTCAAATGCTGAATACTATTCACCATCTCTTTTCCACCAGTCAGCACATCTAATCACCAACTTCGTTTATCAGTTTCCAGAAGAACTATCTTCAATTCAACGTCGCCATGTCCCATACGTTGTTTTCCAAAGCCTGTTGCGAAAAGAGGTTCGTCTGACGCCGGTAAATAAGAAATACACATTGTTACCTCTAAATGTTTTCATTTTTCAGCTTCCGAACAGTAAAGATGTCATAACGACACTTGGAAATGTGTTTACAGCTATGTGCCTGAACGAACGCGGTCTGAGACAGTTCAAAAGCTACGAACCATTCAATCAAATTTTCCGTATAGTTTTGAGTGTCAAGTTCTTGGTTACTCTGCGGAAGAAACGAACATCGGACGTTTTTGAGTCAGCGCAAGCAATTGGAGGTGCTTTGGATGATTTGATGCGACACTATCCAGATTTGAAACACGATATGCTGAAATCGATCATTGTCATCCTCGATTTGCTACATGAAATCGGAAAAAATCCACCGAATGGCGTTGAATTGGTTCCTACCCTCACTAAATCCATGGCTCGAAACATAGTTTTTTCTCCAAACATGAGCTTTTTAGTGCCACGAGAAGCGAGGTCGCAAGCCAACCAACAGAGAGAAGAACCAGAACAGGCAGACGAACAAGTTGGGGGCGACGTCGATGAAGAACCGATGGAAGTGGAAGATGGAGAAGATTCTGATGTGGACGAAGAAGACAACGAGATGTCGATGGATGAAACGACTGGTGATCCTCCAGAACCAGCAGCCCCAAGTCCAGCACCACAGAAAAACCGACCATTCGAATATGGACCAGGAATGATGTGTGAAGATGTATACGGCAAGAAAATGCTGCCAATCGGAGATTATATGCTTCTCATTGCACGTGTTGTTGAAACGATGATGACTCAAACACCAACGCAGAAGATCACAGAGGAATTCATTGAAGGACGAGTTATGCAGAAGATCATGAGATTATGTCATCTTCCGTGTCCGGCAAGTGACGCAACACAAACTGCGTACCTCAATTCGATATCGGCAATCATCAAGCATATTGTGGTAAGTATCAAAGAAACTTTCGGTTTTAACATTTTGCGATTCGAATATTCTCGTAATTGGATTTTTTCAGAAAGCCGGATTCCACGGTCAACGAACTGGTCCTGACGCCGGTCCAAAGTTAATGTCGGCTATCATCGAAGAGTTCATTAAAACCATTGACCCATTTTTCGAAATGTACGACAAGCACTGCTCGGTACTGCAAAAGGATGGAAGCAAGAACGCCTCGCTTTTCATGACCCTCGACGACAAGATTTTGGAGAAGACCCTGTTGGAATTAAATAGTATCATTCCAGCACTGTTACATCTCAATAAAACTCCAATGAACTCGAGCAACTATAATCCACCAGACCATCGAAACCGAATTTTTGAGACTTGGAAGATGCCAGATGGAATGAAGTTGTATGCTATGCTCAGAAAGCTTTCAAGGATGCTTTGCTGGGAGCACGAACTTATCCAAACGCTCAAGCCAACCATCCGAACTGCAGCCACTCAAACCGAAGGAGAAATGCTCAGTGATGGGCCTAATGATGCTCATCTTGATATGGAAGTTTTGCCACCATGGGAAGAGGATGACATCAAGGAAAAAAGACAACAGGAGCAGGATAAAGATCACAGATGGAAAGCAGCTGGAGTTTCTCAAGCAGAGCATGAATTCTGGTCCCACCACAAATCACTTCAAGAAACGGTTTGCAAGTCTCACAACGCAGTCAAGGAACTGTTGAATTCCATGGGAAGGCAAGCCAACGTGAACAATCCCAGACGCATACGAACAAGAGAAGCCCCTACACTTCCTGCTGCATCCACACAATGCATATCGATGATCTTCACTTCGATTTATAAAGATATAAAATGGGAGCCACCTGTCCAGAGCCTTGAAAACTCTCCAATGGCTTATGGACGCTACACCGATCTGTTGGCTCAGCTCAATTACGCATTGTTTGAAGGTGGTAACCGCTGTGCCAGTGCATCACTTGCTCAAAACTTATACACCTCTGGATGTCACAAAGCATTCTTCGAGCTCTTCACTGAGAAGATTGTTCCATACTTGGGTGAAAACATGCCAGAAGGCGTTGAAAATGCGATGGAGGAATGGTGTCGATTGGCTGGAAAACTTACTGATCGAAATGCTCTCGTGAATCCAGACGGAATTCAACAACGACGAGATCGCCAGATCACGGATTTCGACACTGTTAAGTACTTGAAATTGGTTTGCCGGGATATGTTCCATGCCTACAAACAGTTTTTCGAGAAAATGGCTCAGATGCCTGACTGGGAATTGAAGTCTTTGAAGAAAGTGTGCGAGAGTGCATTCTCTGTGTTCAAGGAAGTTGCTAAGAACTTGGTTGAAGAAGCGGAAAACTCACCTGCTCCGGCAGCTGCTGGAAACGCGAACGCTCCTGATGCTCCTCCAGAAGAGTGGGCGCCAGGAGTTCCACGTCCAGCTCAACCTCCGGCGGATGCTCCTCCAGCCCCACAAGCACCAGATGCACAAGACGAAACGATACGAATGTTGATGGATCTTGGATTCTCTCGTGATATAGTCCTCTATGCATTGGAGAACACTCGTAATGCTGATGAGGCTGCAAACTATCTTCTAGCTCAAGGACAGGAAGTTAGTGCTTACAAAAGTATTTAGATGAAAAATATTTATTTCAGATTCGAATCCAAGATGTTGTGAATGCCTTCCGTGACGACAATGATGACGATGATGGGATACAATTTGCACTCCGTGCCATGCGCCCAATTGTCCCAACAGCTTCACCTAGTGCCAATGAATTGGAGAACGAGCTGCGTGATTCGTTAGCCAATCGCCAAGGATACGAGTTAGTTCGCACTGCTCAACGTACTCTGCGAGATGCAAACATGGATCAAGTCGCTGATCAACTTGTCGAGATTTATCCAGATGAGAGTGCTGCAATCAATGCTGATAGTCTTATCACTACTGTTATGGACCGTGTTCGAAATCCCCGCTCGACATATGAGGAAAACATCGCTACCCCGCTCATTCCTCCGTTGAGCCAACTGAAAATCGAGCAAGATGTGTCATTGAGTAGTGCGTGCGAGCAACTTTTCCCTCTTGTCAAACGTCTTCTCGTGGTGTCGAACGACACGATTCATCCATGTGCTGAACTCATCGTTTCGATATTCCCTGCCATGACAGAGAATTGGAGAAAAGAGCATTTGATTGCTGAGATATGTGGACAAGATTTGTTGAACATGGCTGAAAGCTTCATCAACCAAGAACTTGATGATTCTGGCAAGCCAAAGGATCACGAAATTGCTAGAACGATGGCCAACCGACTACATTTTGCTGTTTTGATCTTTGAAAACGTTTCTGAAGAATATGTCCAATGGATTGATTCGAAGGGAATGACTCAAGCCATGATCAAGATGTTGGAGTATCTAGTTGAAAGGTTCAAAGTTGTGGATTATTACCAATCTCTCGTAACTCGTGTGGTTTGCTGGTTCGATTTCTACGCGAAGACTCATCGTTTGGTTCTCAGAAGAAAATATCTCCAGTCCCTCACACCGACACTTGAATGGTTTTATCAAGCTTATGAAGAAGATGGAATGAGGAGACGCCATGAATATGCACCAGGGGATAGGAAATGGGTACCTTATGATGCTTCAACACAAAAACTTCTCAACGACGCATTCTTCTCTGGAGCTCGAGGAATCAAGTGTCTGGTCAAGCGTGGAACGTAAGTTTTCTATGATTTTTCGCAGATTCAAGTCCGCTCTTTCTCAGTATATAATTTCCTATTTTCTCCAATTTTCAGGCGTCCAAGTAAACGAATGGATGTCGACTTCACTACGATGAAACAAACCGACTCCACTATTCGGGAAATCATCAGAACAGATATACCATCCAATGTCACTGTTTCGATTCCTGATTTGATGGCATCGGAAGCAAGACTTACTTGGCCAGAAGAAGAAAATGATAAGCTGTTGGAACTCTCAGTGAAAATTCTGAAAGCAGGAGCTCTTGATCCAAAATGTTCCCACTCCATGCTCAGTTTCATTTCGCGATTGACCAAACACAAGAGAAACGCTGAGAAGTTCGTGGACTTGAATGGAGTTGTTTCCATTTTCAGACTTCGAGCTCGTTGTGCATCGACGTATCCATATCTGGTTTCCGTTATCATCAGAAATTGCATCGACGATGAAACTCTCCTCACTCATGTGTACGAGAAAACGATTCGATCATACATTGCCGCTCCGAACCATCCGCCTATTTCGATGTCAGAATATGGTATCAAACCTAAGGAGTTCGTTGATACTCTCAATTTCATGGCTCCATTGTCATCTCGAAACCCTCTGGTTTTCACGGAAGCGGTGAACAAGTTGGCCAGATTGAATGGTCCGGACATTGTTCCAATACCGAAGGAGAAGAAACCAGCTGCTTCATCATCCACTGCTACCGATGCTGCTGCTTCAACGTCATCGGCTCCACCAACTACATCTGCTAGTTCACACACTGTCATTGAAAACAACGACACTGCTATTGTCATTGTCAATATGATGGTCCATGAAGTTCTATATGGAGATTTCCCAACTGTTGGCCCGACACGAATGCTCCCACAGGAGAAGATACTGACAATACTTGCCGAAATCATAAAATCTTATCCATCTCTGGCTATCGTCGTTGCTGAATGTCGAGATGAACAACTAAGTGCTCTCTATTCGCTTATCGACACTTATGTTAGTGCACCGGTGGATAAGTTGGAAGTGACTAATGCGCTGAAAACCCTCATTGCCGTCATCTCAGCTTCGCAAAACTCTACAAAAGCACAAGATCTTCTCGTAACAGATGTGAAATCTGCTCTGATATCTTACTCCGAAGACGCGTATAAGGTCAGACAGGAACAAGAAAAGAACAAAGCTGAAAAGGAGTCGGAAGAAAGGGAAGACGCCGCTGCCGAGCTAGAGAAACAAGAGGAAGAAATTTTACAAAAGATTTCTGAGTTATGTTCTATCATCATCATCATGTGTCAGAGCTGCCCAGCTCCTCACCACCATCATTCCGATCGACATCACCGGGAGAGATTATCACAGAACGCTGTTATGAAACTATTCCATAAGAAGAAAATCTGTGCTGACCTCGTTAGAACTATTCATTGTCTACAATTGTCGAGCAAGGAATCACTGGATGCAATAAATCAAATTCTCAAGACCCTTGATACGCTTCTTGAAGGATCATCTGCCTCTGGACCCGCTGGTCTGTCAGGTGCTAGATCCTTCATGGAGTTTCTAGGAGCGAGACCGGTAGGCCGGGAGCGGAGAGTCCTTGCTGCTGGCGATCCAATAGAACGTGAAATCGAAAGTATGATCAATCGAGACGGCTTTGCTTTTGACGGAGAGATGCAAAGTTTACTGCGGCGGTTGCAAGGCGATGATTGGAGAGCCGGTCCACCAAGAGCAGGACAACCAGGTGGAGAAGACGAAGAAGGGTCTGACATTTTCGAAAGAGAACGTTCTGATAGCCCATCTGAAGCTTCTGAGCATGTAGGAGACGAAGACGTCAGAGATGATGCTGTGGAAACTGGTGATGGAGAAGTAGAAGTGGAAATGGTCGATATTCAAGAAGACGCCGCAAATCCTCCAGGAGAGCTGGTAGCTGTTCAAATGGAGATTCCTCAGGATGACGGAGAAGACGATGGGGAAGATGAAGAGGACGAGGAAGACGACGAAGATGATGATAACCAAGATGCTCCGGAAGGAGAAGAAGATGAAAATGATCGTGAGGAAGATGACGATGAAGATGAGGAAGACGAGGAAGATGACGAGGGAGAAGAACAAGAAGAAGCTATGAGAGTAGTGGAGCCAAATCCAGAACCTGCTGGAGTTCGTCGACTTTACGATGAAGAAGATGACGATGACGAAGAAGATGCCGATGAAGATGGTGATAGCATGGAAGATGATGTAGCTAGGTTGGATTTGGATGATGATTATTTCGACATTGGTGCACCATTTGATGTTCACCGTATGGATGACATGATCTTCCCTCCAAGTTTCGGCCGCCCAGGTGTCACTGCATTTGCTGATATATTCAGAGACGAGTTTGATTTCTTGTAAGTTCGCATTTCCTATCTCTTCCCGTATTGCAGTAAAACCGTTGAAAAAGTTCCAGACCACCGTATCGAACGGACAGAAGACCAATACCTCGCGCGTCCCACATTGGAGGAGTCATCAGTGAACACCCACTGATGACACGACCACCAGCAGAAAGTGATGTTGCTCGTCGTCCGAATTCCGCCTTGCGAGCTGAAATTCTCTCTATGCATACTCGTACTACATTACATCGTCAAAATGCCATACGAAGAACGACCAATGAGGCACGAGAAATCGAAGCAATCAGCCGATCAGTCAGAATGGGAGAATTCCCACCAGGACGAGTGGTTATCCGCGGAACCAATGCTACAGGAGACGGTGGAGCTCATGCGTCGTTCTTTGATCACATTTTCGAGATGCGTCCAGCGAATGTGGCCTTCACAAGAAATCCATCAAACTTCCGAACTTACAACGCTACGGTTTGTTTCTTTATTCATACCTTCGATATCTATTTTTATTGGTTTACAGGATCGTGAGGACCGTCGTGATGTGCGTGCTAGTCAAGTCCCAACATGCTTGGAACGCTTGGAATCCTACACTCTCTCTATGGAACCTATCTCAACCAGATTTGTTACTGCGATCGTCAATTCTTATCTATGGACTTTCCACACTGCACGCGAAACTCAGATCAGGAAAGACGCCGAGGCGAAAGCAAAAGCTAAAAAAGAAGCTGATGCTGCCAAGAAAGCGGCTGAAGAGAAAAAGAAGGCTGCCTCTCAAGCTCAACTTGCGCAGGCTGCTCCTGTCGCAGTACCGACACCAGAAGATATAGGTCTCGCCACTCCTGCTGCAACCAATACCACCAACACAGTTTCGGAATCACAAGCACCAAACGCTTCGAACAGAGGAGAAGAAACATCAACAACTCCAGCAGGAACACTTCCAGAGGCACAACAAGCTCAAGAACCTGTTGTTCCAGAGGAACCCATGGAAACTGGTGATGATGACAATGCTCAAGATGCACTCCCACAATCTTCTGCAGCCACCGCAGCGTCTTCCGTTGCTGGAACAGAAGAGATTGAAGCAGTTGAAAGACAAGCCGTCGAAGAGCATGTTCCACCAATTCAAGATCACGATATTCCTCCAGTTCGACTTGTTGAAGAACGAGTACCAGGAAGGCATATGATGGATGAAGAGTTTCGTGCAATCCTTGGTGACATTGATATACCGGATGGTGTGGATCCCGCTTTCCTGGTTGCTCTTCCAGAAGACATGCGCCAAGAAGTTATCCGTGACTTCCAACGTCAGCAAAGAGCCGAAAGAGCGTCCCGTCCAGTTCCAGCTGCTCAACCGGTCGTCGCCAATGCAGCAGAACCAGCGGCTGAAGCTGCTGAGGCGCCCGCTGCAGACAGAGCCCCACTGATCGAGCCAATTGATCCAGTATTTTTAAACGCTCTTCCACCAGAGCTACAAGAAGAAGTTCTTGCTGAACATGAAAGACGTGTTCGTGAAGCTGAAGATCAACTGAGACGTCAGAATGCACCACCAGCACAGCCTGTGGAAATGGACGGAGCTGCAGTTATCGCTTCTCTACCAGCCAACGAAAGAGCTCAAGTACTCGCTGAAATGGATGAGGCTGAATTAGCAGGCTTACCAGTAGAAATGCAGAATGAAGCACGACGAGCAAGAGCTCAGCACATTGAACCAAACATGCTTCGGTATCATCGGCTGTTATTCCGTGGTGGAGCTGGCGGTGGCCCAGCGCAAGTCGGGCTAGCAAGAACAAGAACAACGACTAGGCCAGGTAAAAGTTTGCATAATGTCTGTGTTAAACAAAAACATTTGCAGCAGCTCAATCAGGCCCCACAATCGGACAAAATGCAGGAAATGGATATCAAGCTCCCACAGATCATCCACATTTGCTTGATAAAGAGTCAATTTTGACTCTTTGTCTTCTCTACCTAGTCGACAACAACAGAGTTCCTCATACACGTCTCCAAAAAGTCCTCCGAAGTGCTTGTGTGAACCAGACAACCTGTGACTTCATCGTATGGTGTCTATTAGCGTTGCTGGATAAGGCTAGTGATTCTAACATGGACGATGAAGAGGTTTCAATAACTCTGTAAATAATGCGGGATAATATACATATTTTCAGATGATCTCCAACGTTCCAGCATGGCTCGACTCAATTGCAGTATCTGGTGTTGGTCATAACGAGAAAGCCATAAGAATTTCGGAAAATGCTCAGAAGGTTTCGATTCACTCAATGTTGGCTATTCCAATGTGCAAGAACATTCTCGATCTTCTCACTAATATTGCTCGCTCTTATCCGGGCAACTTCTTACCAGCAATTCTTCGTCATGGAGCAAAGCCAACAGATGTTCCCAAGCAGGCACCATCTTTCCAACAGTTCTGGAACATGGTTCAAACCCAAAGTTCCAAATTCCCAAGAAGTAAGGATTGGACCACAGCACCGGAACAACAACTGGAGGAGTGTCCCCTTGGGCAGATGCTGAGTTCTCTCCAAAAACCAACAATGGCCAAGTCTCCATTGAAAGAGAAGGTGTTGAAGGTCGCAAGTCAAATCATGGTAACGCTACCGATGGACACTTTGAAATTGTTGGGAAATGATGAGTCGAGAAAGCCATTTGCTGAAAAGTTGGAATTCGTAATCCGAGTTATGACGACTGGGTCGTGCAGTGCTGAGGGTCTTTCTGATGGACTCACTATCCTATCTGAAGCGATGAGAAGTTTCTCCGATTCCACATCTACTGATATTTACGAACATCTCTTCTCTGCTGTCACTAAGCTTGGAAGCGAGCTTCTTCCTCAAATCGATCGGTTGATCCTGGAATTAGATGATGCCCAAAAGCCGGAAAATGCGTCAGTTGGAGGTTCCGATCAAACATCTACATCCTCGAAGACTGCCCAACTAGTAGTAGACACAAACGCCGGAGGACGTACAGCTGCGGGTAGATTCGATGGTGAACGGGTTGTCATTGACGGAGATCAGAACATGCGGCTTCAAATGAGCTCTTGTAAGGAACTACAACTCCCAGCCGTCACAGTTCTCACGGACAAAGGAGGATCTCAGTATGCTATTCTCAGTGCTCTGCAAACCCTCGTCAAAGTTCGGAGTCATATGAAGGCGATCAAAAAGGATAAAACTAAGCGGGCTAAGGAGGCCGAGAAAAAGCAGAAAGAGAAAGGTAAAGAAACTCCAACTAACAGCTCAGTACCACAACCAACTGATACGGCTACCTCCGCTTCCTCTGCTGCTTCGAACCAGCCAGCACAAGAACCAGAATCAGAAGATGTCGTTGATGAGGAACCAAGAATTTCTGAACGTCTGCATTCTCTCGAGAATCTTTGGAATTCTCTGTCTGATTGTCTCCTTCGTCTTGGAAAAGCTTCAGATCCACATGCCGTTTTGGCACTCCAACCGGCTGCAGAAGCATTCTTCCTCGTTCACGCTTCTCAACAACAAAAACCGAAGAGCAAGGATTCAGAAGCTAAGCGGAAGGAAAGCCAAGCAGCGCCATCAACATCAGCCGCTGCAGCTGTTGCTTCATCTGTTTCTCATGACGGTCTACGAGAAGATTTGGATCCGGATACTGCCAAGCTCATCGAGTTTGCAGAGAAACATCGTCAAGTTCTCAATCAAGCTCTTCGTCAAAACAATGCTGTTCTGTCGGCTGGTGGCCCATTCGCAGTTTTGACTCAGTTCCCCAAACTTCTGGACTTCGATGTTAAGAGAAAATACTTCCGGAAAGAACTAACCAAAATGGAGCCTTCGTAAGTTCAAAATGTTTGTTTATTTTTTTCTTTACACACCCGTTTTCAGAATGCCTCGTTATCGCCGTAATGACGTTTCGGTACAAGTGTCTCGCAACCGTGTCTTCTCCGACTCATTCAGGGAACTCTTCCGCCTCCGACCATCTGACTGGAAGAACAGATTCTATATTATTTTCCAAGGAGAAGAAGGACAAGATGCTGGAGGACTTCTGCGAGAATGGTTCTCTGTAATCACTAGAGAGATCTTCAATCCTAACTATGCTCTGTTCATCACTGCTCCAGGAGACATGGTGACCTACATGATCAATAAGGCATCTTACATCAATCCTGAACATCTTGACTATTTCAAATTCGTCGGACGGCTTATTGCAAAATCCGTATTCGAGCACAAATACCTAGATTGCTATTTCACTCGTGCATTCTACAAACACATCCTCAACTTGCCAGTACGGTATCAAGATTTGGAAAGTGAAGATCCAGCTTTCTTCAAATCGCTTGATTTCTTGCTTCAAAATTCGATTGACGATCTTGATCTTGATCTAACTTTCTCAACGGAAGTAGAGGAGTTTGGAGTTCGTTCGGTTAGAGATTTGAAGCCAAATGGAAGAAAGATTGAGGTCAACGATGCTAACAAGGATGAATACGTGAAATTGGTTTGCCAAATGAAGATGACGGGATCAATTCGGAAGCAACTCGACGCGTTCCTCACCGGATTCTACGAGATTATTCCGAAAGATCTCATTTCGATGTTCAACGAACAGGAGCTGGAGTTACTCATTTCTGGACTTCCAACAGTTGATATAGACGACATGGCAGCTAACACCGATTACAAAGGATTCCAGAAGACGTCAACACATATTCAGTGGTTCTGGAGAGCTCTTCGCTCATTCGAGAAAGAGGACAAAGCCAAGTTCTTGCAATTCGTCACTGGTACCTCCAAGGTGAGTGAATTCACCTTCTTTACAGAAAAGATAATGATTGAGTTTCAGGTTCCACTTCAAGGATTCGCATCTTTGGAAGGAATGAATGGAGTTCAAAAGCTCAGCATCCATTTGGACAGCCGTGGTGGAGATAGACTTCCAGCAGCTCATACATGGTGAGTTTAGCATAATTCAAGATGGCACTCATTTCTCACTTTTTCAGTTTCAACCAATTGGATCTTCCTCAATACGATTCATACGAAAAGCTGCGTCAATCGCTTCTTCTCGCTATCCGTGAATGCACCGAAGGTTTCGGATTCGCTTAAATGTATAGATTCTGGGAATTACCCAATTTTTTCTTAAAGTTTCTCTTATTTCTTGATACGCGGTCCCCGTTAACTTTATGCACTTTAAAACAGACTTTATGGTCTCTCCATTTTTTTTAATTTCATTTTTTGTGTATACTATCATCCACTCTTGACCCTTAAATACCAATTTGACCTGTTTATCTTCCGAGCTTCATCCCCGTTCTATTCCTCCCCTTCCCAAATTTTATTCTTCTCTGGACAAGTTTGATTGCACTCACTTTTCCGGGCCTTACCAGATTCGTTATTCTGTAATCCCCTATTGTGACTACGAATCAGCGTGAGCAATTTCAGTCTATAAACAAAGGCCCCTCTGAAAAAAACTGAAGTTTGATTGACAAAATAACATTCCGATCTCTCTTGCGAGTGCTCCACAATATGTGCCTCGTGTGACCTGAAATTTCCACTGAACACACATGTGATATCAAAGGGATGTTGTGGAATTCGAGCAATTTATCGCGTTGCTCCCTTCCTGCTCTTTGGATTCTTTTTTCTTTTCATCGAAGAGGAATTTCCTCCTTTTCGTGGCGGGCAGGAGTTTACAAACTTGATGACAACACAACTTTAACAGATGGCCGGAAACTTGGAAAAAATTGTGGAATGTGAAACGAAGTGGTTCTTTTATTTCTTTCGGAGTTCGATGACGTTATTCAGTGGGAGAGGGGGAACACCGGATGTTTAAAAAAACGTTTACAAGGTTGTAAAAAAAAGGTACTTTGAAGAAAGAAGTTGAGTCACTTCCGAGAATGATGAAAACTAAGGTGATGACGAAAATTAAAATTTCGAAACTGAGAAAGGTGGAAAAAACGGAAGCAGGTTGCCAATATTTTTCGTGTCTAGTTTTTGAAAGAACTTCGAGATGGAGCTATGGGCGACGGTTCCGAAACGAAATCTACTGTAACCTGAAAACATTTTTATTTCGTTTTTCGTACGTTTTCAGTCAACTTTTCACTGTCAAATTTTTTCCGACTATTCTGGAGGAAAATAACAGGAAAACCGACAAAAACAGTGAAAAACGAGATATACAAAACCCCGGAAACAGTTTTAGGTTACGGTAGTTGTCGTTTTGGGACCTTCGGCCACGGCCACCGGTGTTTCTCTTCCATCCACAGCTCCCATTTTTGTCCCATAATAGCATGAAATGAAGAGATTTGCAGGAAACCTAGAATCGTTTCAGAGTTTGTGGTTTTAAAATTGGAATAAAACATCCTTAAAAAATCATATTTAGAAAATATTGCTATTGTCCTTCATAAAAAAAAAAATTTAATAATAAGTATTATTAAATTAGAATTAGATTCTGAAAAACCTTCTTTTGGTCATACACCGTAAACACTCAAATAGAACGCCCTCCCCCTCCTCTAATTTTGAACTTTGAGCCCATATATCTCCTTTCCTGTGAAAGATATCAAAAAGTGGCTAACTGACAAAATATTTTTGATATTATAATTAACATTTTATCAGTTTACGATTTTTTGACATCTTTCACAGGAATCGGGATAAATCGGCTTGAAAGTTAAAGGGGTGTCGTTCTATCAGAGTGTTTATGGTAAGCGCCGATCTCTCTGGACATTTAGATTAGATTTTTATCTGTTCTTGAGTTGCTAGTGAGCTCTAGTCACCTGTGATGCTTTGATCCATCAGTACTCTTCACTCTAAACTTCTAAATCAACTTTCCGCATTCCTCTACGGAACTTCTCTTCTTCCGATTCTGCAACATAATATTTTTATGACGTTGTTCATGTTCTTTTTCATTCTTTTCTTTCTCTTTTTTTTCGTCTCACGTACTCTAATAGTATTACTCCTGACTGACTTTTCGAGTGAGTGATAACAAAAAGATAAGGAAGATAAGAGGAGTCATCTCTCGAAAGAAAGAGAGCTGGCTGGGATCGAAATGACAACTGTCACATTCCTAACATTCCAGCTTTTTCTAGGCGGACACCGAGAGTTGTGGATAGATAACGAAATGAGAAACGAGACGACGACGACGGAGGAATGTTGTCTGACCTCCCGTTGGGGTCCCTTCACAGGAGGGACAACCCAGCCCCGCCTCTTATGATTTCATTCAAAAATCGCCGAAGGGGAAGAGGAAACGAGCCCATTCGAACAGTTTTTGATAGAGCTAAAATTCTTGTGTTCTGACTTTTATGATTCCTGATAACAATTTTATACTATGGCATCGAAGTTTTGATATCATTTCCTACTTTTTATTACAGTTACCCTTGTAAAGCTAAACTATTCTGGGTTCCCATTAAACAATGATACTTTTCAGTCATCCAAATGGTTTTTGGGTGGCGCACAATTACTTGGGCTGATAAAAACGAGTATATCTTTAGACACAAGTATCTTGAAAGCACGAAAATTGGTAGAAATATATTTTTAATTTTGATTTAGAGCTACTGATATTTTCAAAGCGATTCCTCAAGCCTAGTTAACGTTATGATTGTCCAAAGAAGAACGGCGTAATGTTTGTTCTTGTGATTTTCATGAGATGAAGAAACTTTGACAAGCGCTAACTCAGCCCAAAGTTAATAAAATAATTTGAACTTTTGATATTTTACTAATGGATTCTTTGATTTTTCGCTGTCTAAATTTGAGCCTACTACAACGCTTTACTCAAGTTTTATGCTAGTACAAACTTAAGTCCGAGTAATTTTGCGCCACCCTGTTCTCTTTGGGGACTCTTATCCATTCTGAGGTATGCACAATCTCTCTAGAGACAAAAAACTAAAAACCACAACAAAAAACAAAAACGTCTTCTTTTTTTGTCATATATAAACACTAACTCCCTCAGGAATTTCGTTTCATCTTGCGTCTCTTTTTGTATCTGTTTCACATCTTCTTTCCTCTTCAGGGAAGAGTTTTCACATTCTAAAAACATACAAATTCTCTTTTCTTTTTTCAGATGATGCTCAAACTTTTTTTGCTATTTATTTGTTGTCTCATCACACTATGCAAATCATTCCACATCACTCCGATCAGCTACACTCTTCTTGCGGAAAATATTGAAAGTGTTGTGAATTTGGCTGGAAAAGTTCAAGAGAAACGGTTTGTGCAGGATATGAAGTTTTGGAATGCAATTGACTTTTAATTTTCAATTTTCCAGATTTTTCCTTCAAATTTCGAATGAAGCGTCTCCATTCTTCATGTATGTCACACCATGTGGAGCTCCGATTCACTGGCAGCTCTTCTCTGTGGATAAGGATATGAGTCTTTCTGAAGAACTCGATGTTGTATCCAGCATCTCAACTCCACTTGAAGAATCTGAAAAATTCCGTTTGATTGCTGGAGAAGAAGATAAGAAAAGAATGACGTTCTTCGCCCACAGAGTTCCGAAAAGTGAGAATTTAAAAAATAGAAAAAATATTGAAAAATCTAAATTTCAGAGGTGATTCTCGTTGTTCGTGCATCATCGCCTTCTGCTTCTGCTCGTATATTCTTTTCTCCTTCACTTTTCCGACTCGAAGAACAGTATCCACCACTTCCTCACGATACACGTCTTGCTACCAACGTACTTGATGATATCTCCAAAAAAGACGAAGTTTCCGCTCAAATAACCTGGAAAATCTCACCACAAGTAAGAAACGCCGAACCAGGACGCTACCGTATTTGCACCATCGTATCACGTCAAGATCCAGAATTTGCTGGAATGTGTGACGACGTGGAAGAAGGCGTTGAAGCTGTGAAATGTGTTCCACAAATGAATAATTCAGTTGTTATGGGACAATTATGGAGAGATAGAACCTATTACGTAACTGTATTCGTGAGAGACCAGAAGCGAGGATCTTCCTCTGCTTATGAAGTTCAAACGATCCAAACACCACCATCACCAGTCAACGAAATGGTATCTCGTAGAAAAGTGCCAAGAAATATTCCAAGAAAACAGAAGAAAAATGCTCCAATCATATTAACTGATGGGATCATGGGACAAGTTGAATTGGAACCACGGAAGGCATCTGTACTCAATATGAAGTTCTTTGTACACCCTCTTCCGAGCAATCAATCACAAACGGTGAGCTATATGTCTATGAATTCAAGAATATGCTTAAGATTTCAAAATTTCTATACGAAATTTCTGTTTTTCTCCCACATCCTGTGTGTTGCGTGCGAGCTTATCTGCTTCGTATCAGGAAATCACTCCAACATTTCAAATTTGAGCGAATTTATCTCGGTTCCTGTGAAAGATATTGAAAAGTTGTTGGCTGATAAAATAATTTTCATATTTTGATAAGCATTTGGTCAGTGGACTACTTTTTGATACCTTTCACAAGAACTGAGATATAAGGGCACAAAGTTTGCGAGGCGTTCTATTAGAGAGTTTACGGTAGCTAAAGTTGATAGCTTTCTTCAAATTTTCAAAAGACGTCATCAACTTCTCAATTCGAGCAAAAAAGATGGGAAATCCAATCCGTTTTCGTTCTATTTTTATCTTCTCAATTGTTCCCCAAAATAACCTCTCTTCTCCCCTATCATATGGAGTTTAATACCTACCCCATTGACGTCATCAATCGACTGACAACTGACTTTTATCCTCAATTCCACATTCCACAATCTATCTCTTTTTGCAGGCATATCTCATTGTGCACGCTTGCGATGGACTCATTCGTCTCAATTTGTTCAGGAACGGAAAACTTTTGAAAAGAAGTGAATCATTTTCTGGATTCAAAAGGTGTGATAACATACAAATGATGGGGGAAACAATAAAGGAAATTTCAGGTTTGTTGTGAGCAATTTCAAAGCTGGACACCTTCGTTACCAGATCATCAATGATGATGATGCCAAAAAAACTATCCGAGTTTGGACCAGCACCAACGCAGCCCAATCTCCTTATCCAAATCTTCCGGATGACACTAGGTTTGGAAAATTCGAACTTCTATAGAAATTCATTGTTTTCTTTTTCAGTGTGAAAGTGGTTAACCGAAAATGTGACTCTGCAACAATTCAATGGATGCGTGGTCAGGATGAGCATTTGAAATACTGTGTCTACCAAAGAAAAGAAAATTCGAACTTTTTGGAACACCTTGTCAGTTTGGTAAGTTTCTACCCAAATAATTTCAATAAACATCTATTTTCTATTTTTGTAGGCTGACAATCTTTGCCAAGGTGGTCTTTCTTCTTCAACACTCGTTGGATGCTACGTTCATTCTCCAACCTCAGCTGAAATCGAAACTCAATCTGTACTCGAAACGATAATTGGAAATCTTCAGCCAAGCAGCACGTATAGATTGGATCTTCTCGCTATTCCAATGAACAGACCTCACCCTCAAGCACTTCCGTATCGAACTGTTTGGGTGAGAACGAATCCATATTGTGCACAAGAATAGACCAAAAATAGTATCATTTCAATGTCATTCCACACCTTGTTACTGGTGTTCCCCCCGCTAGAAATTAGTTAAGAAAGTTCTCGTGTTTTTATGTACGATTTTGTGTATTTGAATTCCTGTGCTCTTAATTGTTGACTACGGTTACTTTATTATATTTCGGGTTGATTTTATATTTTTCTGATTTTTCTCATTTAATAAATTGATGAGTTTTGAGCTACTTCCTCACATCAAAGAATACGAAAAACCATTTTACATTCCTGGATCTTGAAAACCGAAAGTCAGAAGTTTTTGCAATTTTTAGTTGTTTGCTTTCCGGGACTAAAAAATGAGGAAAACAAAACTTTTGCAAAAACTATGTACTTTTTTTAATTTTCTGCAAATCGAATGGCACAAAGAACACTTTCGAATTCCTACAAAAAAGTGGAAAGAACACAGGCAAGGACTCGTTCAAGGCATCAAAAAGCTCCTCCCACTTTTCCCGTTCTATTTGAACAAGGGGTTCTTGAGTCTTTCACATAAAACAAAAGTTTGAAAAAACGGATTTATTTAAAATCTCTAATAGAAATTGAAGGAAACCTAACCATAATTGCAAGCCGGGCCCTGTCATAGTATCTTTTGGAACCAATTCTTTTGGACCAACTAAATCAGATTTAGTAGAACTCGACGAGTACTAAAAAGTATAATATTTTGAAAACTGTACTTTGTCTATGAACAAAGTAACCGAAAACACGGACTGAAAAAATAACAGGCAGCGCAGGACCCAGTAACTTTGTCTGGCTTTGGCTTTTGAATTTGTTAATAGACAAGATACAGTTTTCTTAATAGTATCAATTTGTAGTGCTTGTTGAGTTCTATCATATCTGATTTAGTTGGTCCAAAAGAGTTGGTTTCAAAATAAACTATGATAGGGCCCGGGTTACAAATTTGAACCTAACAGAAATCGTCGAAAAAAGCGAAAGCAGAAAGAAAGTAAAGCAAATTGGAGCAGAAAAACACAATGACTAGAATTGAAAGCTACGGAATGTTCAATAGGGGCAAAAAGAAGGTTTGTGAATACATGAAAAGATACCATAATGGATGTGGCTGTATCGTGATTCATTTCCCCTGATTTGTATTCAAGGATTCGGAAATTGGTTTAGATTCCATAGTTTTGAATCCTACCTGTTGACCAAAGAGCTGAGAATAGATGGACAGTTGAGCCAGTTGTTGATATGCTGCATATTGATGCATGAACGGATTCATGAATGGAACCATTTGAGACATATGAACACATGGAATCTTCTCTTCTGGAGGAGTTGGTGGCTGTGTTGGAGTTGGGACAGATGACGTGGATGGAGAAGACAAACAATTTTGAGAGGATCTCAATTGTTGCAGATATTCAACTGTCATCTCCAATATATCAGCTTTTTCCCACTTCGAGTGCTGAGCAGAGTTCTGAAAACATATTTTAAACGTTTTTTTCAAAGTGTATATTTTCTTACCTTGTGCCCATCCTGAATTAATATCTGTTTCAACTGTGACAGCGATTTGTTGATCCGAGCTCTTCGTTTTTTCTCCATTAATGGTTTGTTCTTCTAAAAAATACAGTCAAGTTGAAAAGTTAAAAATTAATGAAACCCCTACTTTTTGTTGTCGACATCCTCCATCTGATTCTGCGTCAGTGTCAGAAATAACAAAGCTTGACATTCTTCTGAAAACGGAAAAATGAGAGGGGCGGATGAAAAGACAAAAGAATGAGTATTATGCTGGAATGAAAAAAATCTTAGCCTTGGAGGAAGAGAAACGCCGGTGACAGCAGCCATGGCCGAACTATCGTAGTTAGTAAATATATATTTTCCGTTTTTTTCTCGGTGTTCCCCCATTTTCTCGGAAATTTTTAGAATTACAAAATCATTATTTTCCGACTTTTCAGGAGACTTTGAACACAAAAATTATCGGAAAGCGAAATCGAGAAAAAAAGGACCAAAAATTTTAGATTACGGTGGTTCACGAAATCTACCGTAACCTGAAAACATTTTTATTTCGTTTTTCGTACGTTTTCAGTCAACTTTTCACTGTCAAATTTTTTCCGACTATTCTGGAGGAAAATAACAAGAAAACCGACAAAAACAGTGAAAAACGAGATATACAAAACCCCGGAAACAATTTTAGGTTACGGTAGTTGTCGTTTTGGGACCATTGGCCACGCCCACAAGTGTATCTCTTCCGAAGCTCTGATGTTTTAATACGAGATAGAGACAGATGAAAAGACGATAGAAAGAGTAGAAGAGAGAAAAAACAATGTCAAGAAGGTGTCGGATACTGTAAATACACGTGTTGCCAGGTCGGCAGAAGTAAAAGGAAAGAGCAAATAGATGAATTAATAGACCCATGAGAGCATGCTTGGGAGGGAAGGGTGTTGTACATAAAGGTAATTGTTCAGAGTTGGATATGAAGGGATCTGAGCAATTTCAAAATCCCAGTAAATCTTTTACAAGATATCAAAAACCAAATGCCATCGGAGAAGTCTCTTACGGAGCGGCTCTTCTGACAAATCCTTTTTTCAGGTTTACCGTATTTGAAAAAAAAATTTTCGCAATAAGTCATTTTAACATTTTTTCTGATATTTTGAAAAGTTGTCCAACCGAATGGACGCATCCAACGAGTGACGATTGGTGAGACGACGGGTTTGTGAGGAAAATGAAATTGAGGAAATACAGTAACCCTCTCACTTGCTTCAAGATCTTATCGTGTTCTTGGCGAAGTTGAAGAAGAATTTCAAAAAGAAAAGATTCAAACAAAAAAAGAAGCAAATGGTGATGTCGGTAACTGAAACTGAAAAAAAGAAATTCAGAAGAATGATTTCATGGAAAAAAGGATGATTGACAGTTGAGATTATTAAGGCAGAAATGAGGAAGCTGAAGAGCTTTGAATCAAGATTTTTGACGAGTAAAATAATTTAGAAAAGTCAGGATACATCCAAGAAGTTTTCAGATTACTATGATTTCCAAACTAACCAAAAAATGAAAGTTTTTACTGACTTCATAAATCCAAGCAGCTAGTTAAAGAGATTTAATTTTTGTCAATTACCATAAAACCGGTAATGAAAAGGCCCGCTTTCAACTTTGAGCCATTTTGTTTTCGGTTCCTGTCAAAAATATGAAAAAGTTTTCAACTAATAACTTGCTTATCATAATATCATAAATGTTTTGTCAGTTGACACCTTTTTGATATCTTGAATAAAAATTGAAATAATTGAGCTCAAGCTCGACAATGTGGGAGCCCTTCTATTACAGGTTTTATGGTATGTGAGAAACTAAATCAATTAAAAAATTTTCAACTAAACTAATTTGTGAAAAGATAAATCTTTAGCTCAAAACTTTTTAATACCCCTATAAAAATCGAAAAATTACATAATAAAGTTGCACTATGGATCTCTTTGTCGAGCTACGCTTGAATTGACTTACAAAAAACAAATAGATTTCAAAACATAATGACTTGTAAACTTTGCGATATTTTCAAATTGCGATTTGAATATTCCTCTGAAATCTAAAGTTTTCCAGCTCGCATTTTGTCCCAATCGTATTTTTCGTACTTGTTTTAATTTCCAACTATTCAATGGCGAGCTGACTTGTCGAAACTAACAAGTTCAACTATCATAAAAATCCCTCATATATTTTTTTGCAAACGAGTTTTCAACTTACTTCTCTGGAACCAAAGAAGATCAGTGGATCCACTTTTCACATTCAGCTTATAAAAATTTAGGCTTCAACAAGTTTGTTCAAAAATGAATCTTACTAACATCAGAATCACAAAATCTTGGACCCTTTTATAATGTCAGAATGTCAACATCTGATAATAAATTTAGTATACATCAGCTTTTTTAGAACTCCAAGATGGAGGAGAATTTTATATAAAAACCTTGATTAAATTCCTACGAATGATAAAAAGATGTCGAAAAAGTTTTTCGGATTTGATTAAAATGATACACATGAGTTATGAGCCACTTTGTCTAGTTTTGCTACCACAGACTTGACTTTTCATGAGGATTACGGTCGGAAGAGTCGGAAGAAAAGAAAAATGATGATTCCAATAATGACAAGATTTTACTAAAATTAAGCCTAATTAACACCTGAATGGATTTGTACTACAAAAAAATGAAGAAGCAAAGTGCATGGGATACCGTACCACCGAAGACCACCCAAGTAGGCAAAAAAGGTGGGCGGAGACACTGCGGGAGGTCTTTCTCAAAAAGAGACGGGTGGCGCCAAAAGTAACGATCGATTAGGGTCATCAGTCAGTGAGCGAAAAGGGCCACCCGGATATCAAATGAGAAATAATTTGTCAAAATTTCAAGGAATTATGTGTTTCATTTCTCTAACTGGGATTCAATATGTATTTGGAGATAAAAAAGGGGAAGTAATGTATTCTGAGGCAGGAGTGTCTTGAAGTGATTGACTGCAAGTTGTTGATGTTTTATATTCTCAAGTGTGAAATTCAAAACTGATAAAATTCAGCCGTCACTGCTTTATATTCGGATTATTTCTGGTCCAAATACCTTATTCCCTTTATAAGAAGCCATTCACAAACCTTCAACTTTGTGCTCAACTATCTCGATTCCTATGAAAAATCTAAAAATGTTTTTAACTGATAAAATATTGGTGATAATATGAGGAATAATTTATCAGTTGACAATTTTTTATATCTTTCACAGGAATCGAGATAACTCGGGGTTTCTCGGCAACTTTCTGCAGCGCTTCTGCGTCCTTCTTAAAAACATTTCCAGAAAGTTTGGTGTGGGATTCTATGAGAAGAAATACGGTATGTATGAAATTAACTCAGATTAACTCAGAATTATCTAGATTGATAGAAATAAGAAAAAAGTATTGTACGAACAATTGTAAGGTAATATTGTTAGGTAGTATGTAAAAATATGAATTCGTCAGGTAAATATTGAAATCAAAGCGCTGAATTAAAACTCTTATAAAAGTCTCTTGTAATATTTGATTTTTAAAGGACTATAAATGTTTCATATCATTACTGTCTGCATATAATTCCTTTCAATGTGAGTGCAGCTAAAATTGAAACCCTTCTACTGTTGCAAGGTACCTATGGAGGGCCCTTCTAGGAGTGCCGTTCTATTAGAGGGCCATTCTGTAACAGGGGGGGGGGGGTTTCGAATGCAGGTTTTACGGTATTCATGTCCTGAAAAGTAATTTTTCTCCTAACTAAAACCTTCCGTGAGGATTACTGTAATAACTTCATTTGTTCTAAAAACCAAATCAACAGTTCGTGTATTTATGTTATTTTACCAACAATCTGCAATGTACAATTTTTTATGGGAACGACTATAAATCAGGAAAACGACGATAAAATTAGACATGAGACAAGAGGAGCGGGAGCGCAACTTGTCATCTCTTCCTTCCGAAAATTGTATGTGAAGACGAAGAGACGCAGAGACAGTTGACACGAGTTGAGGTGGACGCGTAAATCAAGATAAAAATTAGGAAAAAGAGGGACGACAAGAAGGTGTGGATGATTGCCATAAAAGGTCATACAAATTGTTGTAGAATCAAGCGATACGCAAATACACAGAGAAATCCGTCAGATTGTGTTCGGTGATAGAGAATTCTTGGGAATAGAACGGCGGTAGTCGGAAGAAGGCGTGGATTTAAATAGGAAAACGGGATCATTGAAAATTCTGTAATCTTACAGTATCCTGCTTATAAATTCTGTAATCTTAAGGTATCCTTCTTATGTAACTCATAAGAAATACCATACTTGCAATGGGCTGGGCCCAGTCCGTGGCAGTCTTTCATATTTAATAACTTTTAATTACAAATTGGGACGATTTTTTATTAATTAGAAAGGAAATAAGTTAGGATATTTTTTCAAAAATAGACAGACCCTACAAAGTAGAGCGTAGACAGAAAATAGAAAGTTTTTTTTAGTTTTCGAAAAAATTCCGAAAAATGAGTTTCTCAGCCGGCAGGAGCCGGGACCAAACGAGCTTGACATTTTGAAAAAGTTTCAAACCGAATAAAGTGGATTGTTCAAGAAAACATGAATATGAATTAAATTCTGAAATATAACATAGTGTTCTGTGAACCAATAGCATCATTCCAAATCGTCCAAATCTCTCATATCCATTTTTTGAGCTGGCGCTGACTTTCTTCTGTTTGAAACAGATGCACTTTTACGGGAATCTGGCATATCTGGCTGACTCAGATTCCTTTCCAGCATTGGAGCTGATGATGAGGATGCCATTTGTCTGTTGTTCGAGTATGGAGATTCTACATGTTTTTTGGAACGCCTTCTAGAAGATGAAGAAGAAGTGGAAGAAGAAGACATTTGATGTGGATCATTCCTCATGCGGTGATTCAGTCCACACGCCAATGAAAACTTTCTTCTTTGCATCTTCTTTGCTCTTTGCTTTCGAATATACTCCTGAATCTGGAATGTCGTTTGTGGAAAATTGTTTGATTGACTTTTGCTACCTTGTATTTTACAACTGGTGACATTTTCTCAATCCATTCGTTGTTTCTCTCTATTTGGGCTCTCATTCTGGCTTCCATCTGAAACTGGGCGTAATTAAAGTTCTTATTTCGCGATTCGTATGAATTCATAGCTTGAATAGATATTGTTCAAAAAATGGAATCTGGGGAAGAGAAAAGTCGAAAGCGGCTCGAGTGAGTTCGATTCAGAAAATCCCAATAAATTTGAATAATTTGATTCCATTATAATATTTCGATACCAAAAATCGGAGATGTGAAGGAGAAACTGTTACCAAAGGTCTCACAATGACAGCTACCGTAACCTAAACATACGTCGATTTTCCGGATTTATTTTCTCGATATCCGTCCGTTTCCCGGCAGTATTTTAGATTCAGAAAAAAATTTTTTCCGACTTGTTCGGAGGTTTTAAAACTTACAAGTTGTCGAAATGCAATAGTAATCGAGAAAAAGGGACCGAATGTTTGAGATTACAGTAGTTTTCGTTGTGGGACCTTCAGCCACGATCACCGGCGTTTTCGTCCACAAATCTGGTTTTTTTTACTATCAGGACAGTAGCAAAAACATTCCTATCACAAAATATAACTTTTGAATATTAGAGTTTTGATTTCGCAATTCGTATGAATTGATAATTTAAATAGACCTCTATAGACCGGTTCCACCTGAATATAGACCGGTTCCACCTGAATTGTTGTTGATTCGAATTCAAAGATCAAGAAATTTCCAATAAAACCGTGACTACAAATCCTTTTTTTTTCAAACTGATTCAAACTCACTTCATACGGATCATAAGAGTCCTCACAGTAAGATGTATTCTGAATTTTTTCATCCGGCGGCATTCCATGATGTACCAGATGTTGCCTTTTAGACGATGTCTCGTTGATCATTATGCAAAAAATAGTTGGTGTGAATACAAAAAATGCATGGTTTTTGGGACAGTTTGGACATGAAAAAAGCGCTTATCAGCTTATCAATGACATTGGGCTGACAGACTGAACTCATACTTTTTTCTGGAGAAAGACTTATCAGTTAGGTAAAAGAGAATAGAATCAGGTGACAGGTGTCAAGTGCCACGTCACAGACACTTTTGTGGATCAGTATTCAGTGAGAAGTTCTCACCAGGATATGTAGTTTGTTCAGGTCCAACTTCTGCGTCAACTCATAATTGGTACGAATTCCGGTCACTTCTTAGGAATTCAATTGGGATTTCAACCGAGGAAAGTGATTTATTAGATTTTGAAGTTTTTGTTTTTTTAATGACCGAAGAAAGGTACAAATAGTAGTGGGAGAAACCATAGAATAGTCTTCTTTGGAATGGTTCTTCCAATTTTATTTGTTCTAATGCTCCAGTTTGATTTCGTTTCTTCCTGTATGGCAACTAGAAATTCGGCTCCTGCTGTGAGTTGTGTAACCCAAGGCTGTCGAATAAGAGCAGCGGCATGTTTAGTTGGGGTACTTACAAGGGAACCATGTTCAGCCGTCATCTCAGAATTTTTTCTAAATGCTCATTTATAGTTTCGAATACGGGCTTTCTTGTGGTGTATTTGGTTTTCTGCACAAATTTCTAGAAGTCGAGTTATGGGCGGTTTAAGTGATTTCAGTGCTAATTTCTCACTTTCTGAGTGAGTTTTTGAAAGGGTTAATTTGAGTTTTTCAGTATATTTTGAGTGTGAATCGTATTTTAAACTTTTCTCTACAATCTGACAAAGTTTCCTCATTTTTCAAAAAAAAATTTTTTTTTTTTAAATTGCCATGGGATCGTAGTCCTTCGAAAATCACCCAATAGCACTCAAATCTAGTGAAAACATAGATTTACATACTTCTTGACAGATTTATCACTGTTCCGCAACCAATATGGTCAAATCGCGGGATTTCGACTGACATTCCGATTAATTATTGGATATTTTTCGAAACAAGTCCAAAATGAGTTTTTCAATAAATTGCTTTTTCGAGCTTTTTTCCTACTCAAATAATAGAGCAAACATAATTTTGATTTTCGAAAAATGCAAATCATTCCTCCAACACCAAAGAAAAAAAAAAGAAAAAAGAAAATTGACAAGGGCGGAATCGAACACCAACCTTGTGATTCCTATTCATCCACACTATCCACTAGTCTACTGTACGTTGCTCGCTTTTTCAACAGTGGAGAATGTATAGAGGAAAGGGGGGAAGTGGAAGGGAAGGAGGAGAGAGAGAGAAAAACAGCATATTTTCAGACGGAATTTTCTCGACTTCTAGAAATTTGTGCAGAAAACGAAGCACACCACGAGAAAGCCCGTATTCGAAACTATAAATGAGCAAATTTAGAATAAATTTTGAGATGACGGCTAAACATGGTTCCCTTGTTAGGAAATAGGTAGGATTCGGCCGCCTAGCGGTCCTGATAGTTTTTGGCTGGCTGGGCTTATTTTCGAAAGAACGGACTGATTGGACCACGGTAACATAGCGACGGTCTCAATCACGGCCGGCCGCGTCCCTGTTTCCGACAGCCTTGGTGTAACCGTATAAATCTTGAAGAATAAGTTACGGAATTTACCAAACATCATATTGTTAACTAACATCGTTAAATAACACAATTTTAGTTACCCTGTATAACCAAAACTTTAGACTACCGTATCCTGCGAAGAGCCCACGCAAGGAACAGATGCAGACGAAACAGATTTAACACTGACTCCATCTGGAAACTTTTTGACAGCTACCTGTATATCTGAAGTCACTGGAATTTCACCATTCGTGGTGGTACATCTACTACTTAAAAATTTTTGCTACTTATTTTTTTCCAGTATAATGAAGTTACAACCACTCTAGCTTCCATCATGATGGTTTGTCTGAACAATGGTTACCAGTATACCACCGCTACTGGAGACGTCATGTGAGTCATTCACTCCAAATCGACGATAAAAATTGTTTGTTTTCAGAGAAGTCACAACATTGTGATGTGCTGTTTGAAGCAACTCTTCAAATAATTTAACTTTGTAAACTAAATTACCGTAAAACCTCTAATAGAACGTAGCGGCGCAGTTGGCAAACGAAGTCCATCCGTTCACAATTGGCTTGTACGGCTTGATCAGCCAGTTCCTGAAAGCATTGGTTTT